TTCACCGAGCCTTCAGCCTGACTAGTACGCCTATTGGCCTTCAGTCTATCCAGACCGCTCAACTAGCAATCAACAATTCGAGTTACCTCTCCGGGAAATCCTCCCATGCATACTGTTCTAGCCCCCTAAGGGTTCCGAACTCTATCTCCATCATACATACTCGATCCCAGCCTGATTCCAGGTCCTATACAATCACATACCCTTGGTCTGCATCTCACCCCGCACGCCTGCCACTTACTCATACCGGTCTATACTCTAGACTGACAGAACCACTGCTGAAACCCAAGCAGCCAAACATCCTACTATGCTCATCGATCTTCTAGAGAATTTTCCAATTCTCCCCCACTTAGGGCACTGACTAACAACCACCGGTCGCCATCACCGACCTCCCTCAACAACCGTTCATGACACATACTCTTTCACACGAACCGATTCCCACTAACACGAACAACCTTCACCAATCGCATAACAATACAGATGATCCCAACATGAAAAATCTCGACCCCTGCTAGCCACTCCTCAGATTGCAACTGCCACCCGATATCCAGACCAACACCCGATTCCCACGAACAACCCTCATGAAAGATAACCAACGAATTTCCAAACACTAAATCCATAACCAAGCCATAACCCTCAAAACCAAAGAATACAATACCGAAATCCACGCAACAAGACTAGCAGAAAAACAATACTCCGCAATAATCATATAATAATAAGACATTAAGAAGAACATACCCGTAGCTGCATCCAGCACCGCCCTGACCTCCTCTGCTGAAAGCTGAAAAGCACGACCCTGAGCCCTTGGGGGCTACGCTCCACCCTGACCTCCTCCTGTGATCCTCAAAGTGGCCGGTGTTGGAGCCTGCACCGGTCCTGCAACAAGTTGTGGGCAGTTGACCCTCAAGTGCCCAACCTGATGACAATGATAACAAATCCTCAAATCCCGAACCGACACTGACTGCCGACAATCCCTCGCATAGTGCCCCTCCTTTCCGCACTTGCGAGATGCACCATCAGACCGACAAACTCCGGTGTGACCCCTCCCACACATCCCACAAACGTGGCTGCCCTGATTTCCCATCCTGGATTCAACGGTCTTAGACCGTTTCGTCGTTGGTTGCGACTGCAGCGGAGCTTACCTCAGCTCACGCAACTGCAACTCAATCTCTAACTCACGCCGCCTGGCGGTCTCCTGCAACTCCAACAAGGTCTCGCACCTCTGCGTGGACACAAACTATCTGATATGTCTCTTTAGCATACTCAGATATCAGGACATCTGAGCCTGCTCCGAAGCGAACTCAGGGCAAAACATCTCCCTCTCAGTAAATATCCTGGTGATTTCCGTCACCGATTCTGAATCCTGCTTCAGCTCAAGGAACTCCTGAGCTAACCTCTCCCTCTCGACCTGTGGAACATAGCGAGTGCTGAACATTTCTATGAACTGATCCCATGAAACCGCAGCTCTCTACGCATCCGAATATGACCCCGTGGTCAACCTCCACCAATCCTTTGCCCCGAGCCTTAACAGGTTCAGAGCACACCTCACCCTCTGATTAGCAGGGCATGAACACGTGAAGAAACACCCCTCCACGTCTGATAACCATCTCATAGCAACGATCGGATCCTGAACTCCATCAAAGGTGGGAGGCTTCGTATTATCGAAGTCCCGATACTGAAAACCTCTACTAGCTCCTCCCCCTGCCGCTGCTACAGCCACTGTAGCCTCCACGGCAGCCATCTCCGTGAGAGCCGCATAACGCTCATCAAAATACTCTACCATAGCGGTCTTGATCGACCCAAACAGTTCTGGCAGCTCGGCCCGGAACAATGCAGCAACCTCCTCATGCAGGATCTCACGAATCCTCGCATCCAAATCGTCTGTGCTCATATGACCCACAACCTCGGGCGGTACGGACCCGCCCGTAACTCTCTCTCCTGCTCCCGATCCTGACCCGGATCCACTCCAAGCATGCCCTGAAATCTCCATACTGAAAATAAACCACCAAAATCTCAGACACTTCCCACTATCCCGGGAACCAACTCTCAACCCAATCCTAGAGGTCATGGTTTCCCTGATACGCGTATGGGTCCTGTGCTTTCAGTAGTACGGGCCCATACTACCTTCCACACCTACCCATATTTGTATGAAGTACTACCACAACACCCTAGTGAAACATACATAACAACGCTCTATCCTCACTACTAGAGGAACACTAGAAATCTATCACAAGGAAATCCTAGGCTAGCAGGCATCATAAATCAGGCAACACATCATGAAATCCTGAAGATCCCTAGCCTAACTCTAGCATGCTATTCTATCAAAGCTCAATAAAACAAATATCATATATGGTATTTTGGGGTTACTTACTAGCTCCGGCTGATCGTACCTCCGCGTCCTCCATTACTTATTTCGAAAACCATTTTAAATTCTCTTTTGAAAACCCTCCTCGATTTGAGACTGGAGTCACACAAGTGTCCCTCCAATTCACTCAAACCAAGGCTCTGATACCAACTTGTAACGACCTAAAATTTCAATAAAATTTAAACTTTTCAAAAAGATCCCAATTCATTAAGTTATTACAAAAAGGTTTTAAATACATTTATTATCAGAGTATTCCCAGGTCCATTTCATAAAACATAAACACGAGGAGCGGTACGATCACGCCTTCGCCTTGCCACGGTCTCCTGAAGAACCTGAAAAACATTAAACCACAACTGTAAGCCCGAAAGCTTAGTGAGATACCTCCAAAATACCAACCACATATACCATACACATAACATGCTATATCATAACGAATCACAGAACAGCCATTCATATCGGGTCTACTGTGAAACTGGTCCGCCGTGTCGGGCCTTCAGTTCACCTAGTCCAACCTCTGAATCCAATCATGTCCTTCGAGTCTGCAATGTGGTTGGTTCACCCGCACCGGGCCTTCAACCCACCTGGTCCACTCTCTGAGTCTACAGTATGACTGGTCCGCCCGCATCGGGCCTTCAGTCGGCCTAGTCCACTCTCCGAGCCTCGGCACGTCTGGTCCGCCCTCGTGGGGCCTACAGCCTATCTGGACCGCTCGTTGGGCCTTCGAAACAATCGGTCCGCCGTGGGTATCTTGGCCTATAGCACGAAGCAGGACCCGCCTCAACCCAACTCCAGTCCAAACAACCATGTGCACATAAACATACAATCACATAACAGTTCATATACAGTCAAACCGATCTAGCAGATCACATAACACAACATACTCTAACAGGATACCAACTTAATCGGTCACTAGCGTAGCATCATCCTAAATACCAGGATACCGACCTTAACCAGGTCTCTAAAGAATACCATCCTAACTACCCGAATGCAAACATATCAAAGCAATAACATAACAACAGATACCCGGATCTCAATCCGATAAAGGCCCGGCCTTGGTGCCTTAGACCCTGTTGATATAGTGAGGATAACTCACCTCGCAACTGCTGACTGAAAGGATAAAATCACGCTGCAGCAGCCTCCGACCCGAACTCCAACATTGTCAATACCCAAAAGACTGAATCCAATAAATACCAATAATTACCAAATTACCCCAGGAAATCAACTGGTCAACCCTTGGTTAAAGTCAAAGTCTGCCCCTGACTAACTCTACTCGCTGAGTCAACCCGATGACTTTCCGAGTCCTCATACACAAAACCTCCTTCAATTCGCGACCCAACTTGCCGAGTCACCCCGAGACTCGCCGAGTCCAACAACTCTGAGCCCACTCGCCCATAACTCACCGAGTCATCCCTTGACTCACCGAGTCACAGCACTTCCAAAAGAAACTTGGACCTTACGACCAGACTCGCCGAGTCCAAGAACAGACTCGCCGAGTCTACGACTATCTTCAACCTACTCGCCGAGTTGTTCTTCCAACTCGCCGAGTTCCAGTCTTTCTTCAAGCAACTCGCCGAGTCCACGCATGTGACTCGCCGAGTACCACCGGGTCTGAATCCATACAGAGGCTTTCCAAGCCATGCAGATGATCCAAACCATAGATCTACTCCTTCAAAGGCCATCCATCACGTAAAGTGGCAATCTTTACGTGAATCCAAGAAGATCTAGGCATTTTCACTCTAGGGTTTGGGTTTGGGACAAGATAGCTCCATCAACTACACAAGAATAGGGACTTTAATGCACTTAAGACCTTCTCCACTCTAGATCTGAGGTAGCAACCTCAGATCTATCCTTCAAACTCAACGTGCCACAAATCTAAGCTTCCCACACAACCCCAAAATGATGAATCTAGAAGAACACAGCCCAAGAACGAGATATTACCTCAAAATGAAGCCCCCAACAGCAAGGAATCTGAATCTAAGCAAAGCCCTTTGATCCAAGACTCTTCTCCTTCAACATTTCTTCAACAAGCACCTCCCCAAGCTCCAAATGCACTCCAGTCTTCCATAATCACGCTTTCTAGGGTTTTTGGACTTCAAGGGAGATCAAAGAGGATAGGGAGAGGGTATAATGTCCTTTAAATAGGGCTCATCCCCCGGATTTAGGGTTTTCTCCACTCAGCACCTACTCGCCGAGTCCATCCATGGACTCGCCGAGTTGCCCTTCAAATTTACACTTTTAGCCCTTCAACTCTACTCTTGATATTCCGGGATGTTACACATGTGAGTACGCTGAGCGTACACATGCATACGCCCTGCATACTTAGCTACCACCTTTTCTCAATTAAGGACCAAACTGGACAACTACAAAAAAGTTAGGGTTATTGAGATATACCTGGTCTCGGGATGTTACACAATAATAAGATTTGGTGGTTATTCTTATCTTTAGAATGATTCTAAAAAATAAAAAAAATTAAATCATTAATAACAATGACTGGAGATATCACGCCTTTTTAGTTACATATCAATCATATGGTTCCCTCCTTTTAATATATAGTTAATTGGCTCAAAGTTTAAAAGATTTAATTTACTCCGATTTCTCTAATCATCAATTTGGGTTAAATCGTACTGTAAGTTATCTTATGGATGATACAATATCTGTTGGTGACGATCATAGTCATGACCAACATGAATATCCTATAGATTATGCGGACCATGATGAAGAATTTGGGTTGGCTGATCATGATTCTCTACATAATATCGATTTTGATATAGGCTATAATAGCAATCTAAATCTAGGTGATTTATCATTATAAGTTTTTCTACTTGTTATTTTTATAACAATAATGTTGAAGCTGTATATTGTTATTTGCATTACGTCGAAACTTGAACTTATAAAGTTGAGGATCCATTAGAACACGTTCAAAATCATATCGATGTCAATTCCGTGTATCATTTCGGTGAAAGTAGCAGTCATAACCAAGGTGATGTATTGTAATCATTTATTTGTTATATATATATATATATATATATATATATATATATATATATATATATATATATATCCATTACACTAATTCTATTTAAAAGATGCTAAAAACGAAAACGAGTTCATTGATGATGAGGCAGATGATACTATAGTCGATGATAATATTGATTTACAGAAAGGTTAGTACCCCAATAACAAAATATTTTAGAAAACTAGATTAATTCGTTGCGATTGTTTGCAATTTGCACATCAACGACATTCATTTGTTTCACTATGTATGTATTATGTGGTATATAATTTAATGTTTTTTATGCAGAACAATCACATGTTACACATGATTATGTTTCTCCTGGTGGCTCACCTTATTGGATTCCTATTGTTTCAGACCACATCAAACCTAAAATCAACTCAACAGTTGACTCATATGGTGCAACATTATCAATGTATAAAGATTATGCATCAGAAGTAGGTTTTGATGTCAGGCTTGGAACAATTAGAACAACCAAATTTGGCATTATCACACAACAACATTTGCTATGCAATCGGGAAGGTATACCAAGAACCGCTAAAGTGGATACTGTAGACACTCAACATAGTAAGATTCAAAGAAGGAAAGACTCATTTAGGTGTGAATGCAAAGAAAAAATTGTTTTTATTCTACTACATGGTACAAATAAATATACTGTTGATGATTTTGTCGAACAACATACTCATGAGTTGTTTGGTAAGGACAACATGTTTTTATCTCTAAAGAAGAAAATTGATTATTCTCAGGAGATGTTTATTCACAACTTGTCAAAGCAAAATAGTGGTGCCTTAATAGCACACAGATTGTATACAGGACTTCAGGGTGGGTCTGACGTTCGAGGTGGTTTAATTTTCGATTTCAACAACAGGACGAGAAATCTGAATTCTTACACAGGTTTTAGGGATGCAAAATTCCTTGTAGCCAAGATGCTAGAAAGGAAAAATAAATATCCCTACTTTTTCTTTCGAGTTTAAAGTCATGCATAAAAAATTGAATGCGCTTTTTTGGGATGACAAGACCGCAAAGTATAACTACAATGCTTTTGGAGATGTGGTATCCCTTGATGCCACATTTAGCGTGAATAAGTATGGTTTAAATTTTTAATGTTATTAAAATGTTTTTATTACTTCCAATAATGGTAACTAATTTTAATGTTTTAAAACAAATATGATATGGTTTTCGTACCATTCACTGGGATAGATAACCATAAGAAATGTGTAACTTTTTGTGTTGGGCTCTTGGGTAGAGAAGATGGTAGTTCTTATTCTTGGCTGCTTAGAGCATTCTTGAAAGCATTCAAAAAACAACCTATGCTTGTTCTTACAGATCAAGATCCATCTTTACACAAAGCTCTCAATGAAGTTTTTCAAATGTCATCACATACGTTTTGTATGTGGTATATTACAAAAAAATTGGCAAACAAGGTGAACATTTTTTTTACCAAAGGCTTTGGCACAAAGGCTTCATTCCCTTTTAACAGCAGAAGGTTTCTTCACCATCTCAAAAATCCTCGGTATAATGGCCAGAATGTGATGTCTGAAAGTGATATACCACCGAAGCATATCAGTGAAGTTCTTCTTGTCTGCTGTAGAGTTCTTCTTGCATCAGTGAATGATGTTTATGATATGCTCTAGGCAATCTGTTGAAAACAGATGCTTGTCTACCAAAGCAAACAGAAACTTGTGCTTATCGCCTCTTGTGAACATGACCGTCAGATTTGAAGAGTCAATTTGCCCTAACTTCATTTTGTGCACATCTCCTGTCTTGGAAGTAGGCTTGACGGTCGGTTTCTTGTTCATTATTTTTGCTATTTCCTGATCCATAGTGGTAAGCTCATGGATATAGGAAGCCAACATTCTTTTGAGATGTTTTAGAATCGGTTCATACTCTCTTTGATTTGAGAGAAGAATGTTGTATAACAGAATCCAATCATGAGGATTCAGACTGGGAAGATCTGCCAGAGAAATAAAATGTTTTGTGTTGGCCGTTCCTCTGTTGACTTTGAAGTTAACGTTCACAAATTTCCCAGCCTGTGTTGGTTTCCGTACCTTGACCTTTATTATCTTCTGTGCACTCCATGTCAAGTACTGTGGTTGACCATACTTCAAATAAAAATCTATTAATTCTTTGTCAACCTTCAAGTTTGGATGAGGGACATCAGTAGTGACATCGAAGCAATGAAATGTAAAAGCCTTTCGTGTGATTGGCATGTCAAACTGCAAGTCTTTGGTATTCTCACACTCAAAAGATGCAATCGGTTCCAACCAATACATGGAGGGAAACTCAATCGCTTGATTAATGAGTGTGTCTCTGTCCCATTCTAGGAACAGAGTCTTCTTGGCCTGTAGAGCATCCTCATCCTCCTTGATTCTTCTTTCTTTGGCCTCTACCTCTCGGTCTATTTTCAGTGTCTCATCCAGCTCTTTGTCTCTTTTCTTTCGTTGAAGAGCTTCAGCGATAGTTTCATCAGTATCTGATTCGCTCTCAACAAGTAATTGTTTTCCAGAACCCGAAGCTAAATTAACCTTCGGTTCTGTCTTTGGAATACCCTCCTCTCCCCCTTGTCTCGGAAGAACAAGCTTCTCCGAGACACCCTTCATCTCGCTTAAAATGGTAATCGCAGGAAGGAGTTTAGCCTGGAGATGCTGTCTGATGGTAAGGGTAAGAAAGGGATCATGAGTGTCGAGGACAGTTGTCAACATGTTCTTGACATCACCAGCGCAACCTTGAAGAACAGCCCGCTGAGTTTTCAGCAAAGAGATTTCTTGTTGTGCCTGGGCCAGTTGTATCTTCTGAAGGTCAATAGTTGCCTGATGCTTGACAAGATCCTCTTTTAAAGTGCTCTCTGCTGCTAGAGAAGCAAAACGTGAATCCAAAGATTGAAGAAAAGAGGTGGATTCAGTTTTGAGGTCAGCACGCAGAGCCTCGAACTTGGAGGTTTCACCCTGAAGGGTAGCCGAAAAGGAGTCCACAGACGTTTGATACTTGGCCGCATTAGCATCAGCATGTGCTTTGAGAGAATCGAGAAAAATCTGAGTTGTGTGAACAACCTCAAAGACTTCCTTTGTAGCTCTGGAGCATGAAGCGGCTGAGTTGTCAATGGCATCAGTGGAGCGATCCAGAGCGTCAGTATACGTCTTGATTGCAGACTCGATAAAGGCTTTCAGCACTACACCCCCATAGGCTTTATTATCAGCCAACAAACTATCGAGTTTATCATGAATTTCTTGAAGCTGCTGACTGGTAATAGGGATATCTGCATCAGTATCTGTGGGAATCCGGTATGGGCTATAATAAAGAGAATCGTACACTTCATCATCACCACCCAAAGTAGCACCGGAGGTTGAGGATGGAGAAGGTGATGGTGGGATGTTAATGACAGGGGTTTCAACCACAGTAGTAGCCCCTATATCAGATACATTGACTGTTACTAGTGGTTGGGAAGAGGTGGTAGTAATGGATTCGGTGATGATTGGAGTGGGGATCGAAGATGTAGGGATAGGAAAAAGAGAAAGGAATGGTTGAAGTCGGTAAGGAGTTTTGGTTCTTGTGTAGTGGGAGGGATGATGATAGGAACAGAAATTGGGACCTTCTGTTTCGGTGATTGGGGTGGGGTAGGAATTTTAGGAGAAGGTGGAGGAGTGGGTAGAGTTGTAATTTTAGGAGAAGCTGGTGGAGAGGGAATATGAGTATGTGTAGGAGAGAATGGTTGTTGAGGAGACTGAGCAGTAGTTGGCTCTATTAGTGAAGCATGAGGAGCGGCAGCCTCTGCGTCTGATTGGTCATTTGGAGCAGAGCCAGGAGAAGGGGATCCTTTAGCCCTTTTAGCCATCTTCTTAACCTTCTTTGATTTTGACTGAGAAGGTTCATCTGCATCATGTTTTTGCTTGGAGGATCTTGGCTTTCTCTCCTTTTTCGGTTCTGATTCCTTCTTCTCTTGTTTTTCCTTTTTACTAGCCCTCTTGCCACGGTTTGCAGGTTGATCTAGGGCTTCCAAGGCGGCTTTCTGTTCGTCAGTCAGAACCCTTGGAGGCAATGGAGTTCTGGTGCTGTATTCGGCCATGATCTTGCTATGAGGCGTGACACACCTGTACATGGATTCAGGAATTAATCCATAATGTAGAAACTTACTCGGTCAGAAACAATAATCTTCTTAGTGTGGAAAGAAGCTATTGAAGCCAGAAGAGCATCCTTCATCACGGGGATTTCTAGGGAATCCATGGCTTTCTTCGTGATGAGCGTCCAGAAACGTCCGCAAGAGATCTCGGAGTACCGGGTTGAGGTGTTTAGACTCTGAATGACTTGAGACCAGATTATGGAGCCATAATCTAAGTTGATGCCGTTGTAAAGACCATAGAGAATGGTGAGAAATCCTTTGCTCGTGGTATCAGAACCACCACAGCGTTCCACTAAACCCTTGATTAACAGGGTAAGCAAGCCATTCCACTGAGAAGGAAGACAAGATTTCTTGACCTTTGCGATTGTCGTAAGAACATCGGTATAACCCATCTCGTACATCATCGAGAAAAGTTGGGTAGTTGAGACAAAATTCGGTGAGATGACGGAAGAATCAACGGCAAGCCCTAGAAGAGAGCAAAACTTGGTTTTGGAGACGGAGGTTTTCTTGTCATGGATGGTGAAGTAGATACGATCTTTGTATTTGTCATAACTTGCTGATGTGTAAACTTGAGAAAGCAGGGACATCGGAACTGCTTCCACCTGCGTGAGAGCCAACAGCAATGGGGAATATTTCAGACATTCCACCACATGGAGCATGTACGCATCATATAAGAAAGGGGTCATCTCGATAATCATATTCTGATTAGGCTTGATGGAAAGCAAAGATGAAGATGCAGTTTGATCGTGCGCAGAAGAAGAAGTCGGCATTGTTGAATCGAAGAAGAAGATGAACAGTGGAAACTTTTTCAGAGAGAGAGGATACGTGTGTGGTAAATGCCAAAGAACACGATCACCCCTTATTTATACCGTTCACTGGAGAGAGAAAATCGTGATGATTATGGAACCAAAACGTCGCCTGAAAAAGCGCGATTGGATGTTATGGTGTATCCCAGGAAAACGTCGGCACACGTGGGTGTGAAACGAATCAACAGCACGCGTTCAAATCATATTTTTTGTACCGTTTGAAATTCCTTGTGCCCTTGTTTGGTTACAACTGAAACGTAAAACCACATACCAAACAGCAATAAGAATGTCAGAAAAATTAATTGTCGTGCATAAGAGTGTGAAAGATAAAGAAATAAATCAAAGGTGTTTGAGATGTAAGTGATGTCTATGAAGAAGACAGAAGGCGGAGGATTCCGGGAAAGAATCACTTCCTTCAAAGCCAAGAGAGACTTGAAGTGCTTGTGTGGTTTCCCAAGAAATACGATCAATTGTCTGTCAATAAACAAGGAAAGGCATTTTTTTGATCATAGGCTGTTGGGTGGCTATCCTCTAACCGAACATCAAGTCTCAACATAAGACTGAGTATAGGCAGAGGTACCTGTAAAACCGATGTGATCTGTTGAACAGGTAGGTGGGAATTATCTTGTGACAAGCATGGGATAAACAGAAATCTCAAAAAAAATAAACTGGACCTCTTTGGGAAGAAATGTCTTAGGTATAGACGATTTCATAAAAGATCACGCAAAAAGAAAATGAGATTTCCAAGTAACATCTTGAGTATATCACTCACCGTCAATTCATTTTAGGTATTGGATGTTGGGTTTCACTTGGAACGTGGTAAGCGAATCCAAGATCATAAACACAGATGTTGTGTAACCATAAGCTTCAGTGGTAAAGACCGAAAGCATCAAGGGTTACTTTAGGGAATCGAAGGTAAATGTAGAATTTGAGGAGGTGGTTAAGAAACCAAATGTACCTTCTGCTACAGAAGTGGGACAAAGCAGAGCAACTCATGTCTCAAATGAGAAGAGTAAGGTAGCTCTAGACCGAGTGTTGGAAAATAGCCTGA